AGCTAGCTGGTATGGTGTGGTGCTAGATAGAACACTAAATGCACTATTTGCAGAAAGAGAGCCTCCTTTTCATATTTCTCTATGCTCTGTGCATCCAGATATGTAATACTGCAGCACTCCTGTGTTCAGAGGGGACAGCCTGAGCTACTCACGTGCAAGCACTGTCCCCTCCCCAGCCAAGTAGGAAACACAAAACCAGGTCGATTTTACCCATTGTGCAAATTAAGCAGCAGAATGGAGTTAAAAAGCATGTTCCCTGTCATCAACTAATGTATTTTTGCCCATATGAACATGATAGTGTTTTAAGGCTCTTAATGCAGATTCAACAGTATCTCCATCATATCAGCTGGAGTTTCCTTTAATGACACAGGAAATGTGTGCTGGTGCTTCCTTCTGCTCAAGAAGATCAGACCCTGGATTTACTTGAAACAAAGTCTTTTAACATATTCTAGATCTGAGTTGTCTTCTGTTGAGTTACTTGCTCCTCCGAAGCAGAAAGCATTTTCACTTTTTTCTGTCTTTCCTGAGAGGACAGCAGTGAACAGTAACTTGTACGGGTGCGACCACAGTTCACTGTGGCAAGTGCAAAGTTGCCACTGCACCGGTGATTTAGCAAATGTGACCTGTATAGTCTGCCGTCCTTGGGGTTTGAAGTGTTTGGCTATTTTTTTGAGACCTGGTTTCTTTCACAGTTTTTCCATTTACTCTTTCTGTTGAACATTGAAAGGTTTCTTAAAAATACATTAGTCCCATGTTTTACTCCTAGGACCTATATGTATTTGAGCTTTCAGGAGAAAGGGTGGTCAGCTTGTCTGTTTTAGGTGTATTTCACTGACAGCCCATCTAAAACCTTTCTTTCAAGCAGCAGCTGCATTCTCTCTACCAACTGGGAGCCAGGGAGGAAAGAGAATAAAAGCAATTAGCCAAGTGCCCATTTGCCCATGGGATGTGGTGGTTGTATCTTTTTGCAGGGGACCTGACTAAGGCCAGATCCACTCAAAC